TGTTTGTTCTTCGGGAGTCGGTACAGTGTGTGTGAGCTGTTGAGGTCGCAGGGCAGAGGGGCGGGGGCTCCTGGGACGAGGCTGGTTTGGGCAGGAGGGCAAGGTGGGTGAAGGTGGAGGCAGAGAGCGCCTGGAAGGTCTGGTGCCCCCAGGGAGTTGGTGGGAGTCGCGCTTTCCTGAGCTGGGGCACAAGTGCGCGCTGATTTCCTGAGCCATGGGCACCTTGTCCCCGTCCTCGGCTTCCGGAAGGGAGGTAGACTGCCTGAACGTAGCAAGTGACAGTGTCCTCGAGGGGGGACAGGGCTTGTGCCGCTAAGGTGAGGAGCAGAACTCTCCAGCTACCCCCGGTGTGTTTATAACCATCCCCTCGGTGATTAACACGGAGGATCAAACGCCTTTACAAGTAAATGTTTTTGAAACAGATGTTGTTTCTTTTTAACTCTTAATAGAAAAGCTCGCAGACCAGGTGATGCAGAATCCTCAAGTTTTGGCAGCTTTACAGGAACGACTTGACAGTGTCTCCCACACTCCTTCGAGCTACATTGAGACGTAAGTGTGCTGTGAGTGAGACGACGCAACTTTAAGAAAAAACCTCTCCTGGTTCCTTAGACTAGGAATAAGTATGCTTTTCATTCAGTAGACCTTGCCTGCTGAGAGCCAGGCTCTGGGGTCCCGAAGGTGAGTGCTGGGGTCAGAGCCTGGTAGAGGCTACAGGCCCGTGAGGGCCAGGGTAGTGCCATGTGTCAAGTTATGGGCGAGTGTACAGTGCCAGCCTGCAAGGTGAGAGGCCTTCACAGGTCCTGTGAGCAGGCGGACTGGGGCGTCAGCAGGGGGCGGAGGTACAGGCAGATGGGGGCAGTGCTTTCTCTTCACGGTGGCTCCTGGTTCGCTAAGAGACCCAGTCCTGCCCGGCTCACCTACGTGAGCCTGCAGCAGCGAAACGTGGCTTATTTGGACGAGGTCTGTGTCTTTGTTGTACTGCACAGTGAACACCGTAAGGATGCCCACCCTCCAGGCCCTTGGACTGCTCGTCTCGGGGCCTCAGCTGCTCCGGGCTTCCCTCCTCCAGTCAGTGCACGGCTGCATCTCAGAGAGTCACCCTGCACACACACTGGCTGGCCCACGCGGGGCTGGGGACAAGGGAGCACAGAGGGGGCACGCTTGGGGTCTGCTCTGCCCGTAGAGAGGGTTCTTCGGGGGGGGTGACCTAGTGGGGAAAGTGGGGTGTGGTGATGCTGGGTGCAGGTAGGAGAGCTGAGTGTAAGTGGTGCTTTCTAGTTTCAGGCTTCAGAAACTGGGTGAATGGGGTGGGTGGCATTCACTGAGAGGAAATGGGGGAGGGGAACAAGGTTTTGTGCGAGAGAATTAGTTCCACGTTCCATGCTGTACGTGACGTGGCTGCTGTGGGGAGAAGAATGCTGTGTAGTTACTCTTGCTGTCTGGAGGCTGGCTGGGGAGGACATCTGGGTTCAGTCGGCTTAGAGGTCCTTGTAGTTTTACTCCATTAGGAAGATTTGAAAGTTAGGAAATAACGTTAGGTTGTGTAATTAATGTAGGAAAGAAGTACAGATGTTAATGTATTCAGTGTTATTAAATTCTTACTGTGCTTTTTCCTTGTTCTCTAACTAGCAGTAGTTCTAGAACGGTTTCTGTAGTTCGCAGTCTGTCTGAGGTTGCCTTGGGTATGATTATACCAGGACAGGGTCCTTTGTGATTCAAGGCTTTTCCACTACACTTGACCCTCTGTGTCCACGGGTTCCCTGGGTTGTAGATCTGCAGATTCAACCAACTGCGGATCAAAAATATTGGGGGAAAATTTTCCCAGAAAGTTCCAGAAAGCAGAACTTGAATTTGCCTCATGCCAGCAACTATTTACATAACATTTACATTGTATTAGGTATGGTAAGCAATCTAGTGCTGATTTATAGTATACGAGAGGATGTGTTTAGTGTGCAAACACTATACCATTTTATATAAGGGACTTGAGCATCCATGGATTCTGATATTCACAGGGTTCTGGAACCAGTCCCCCTTGATGGCGCTATTTTCTAAACAGTGCTGTGTTTGGGAGCTGCCTGGTACTGTATACCTTTAGAATAATGCCAGCCCTGCCCTTGAGGAGTCAGCCCACGTGGAGGAGGACTCAGAGGGCAGGACCCAGGCCCACCAAGGGGGATAGTGTGGGTCATTGTGGGGCCCAGGAGTCTGCTCTTTTTTTTTTTTACTTAATTTATTTGGTTACACCGGGTCTTAGTTGTGGCAGGCGGGCTCCTTAGTTGCGGCATGTGGGATCTAGTTCCTGACCAGGGATGGAACCTGGGCCCCCTGCATTGAGAGAGCAGAGTCTTAACTAACCACTGCACCACCAGGGAATTCCGCAGGAGTCTGCTCTTTGTTCCAGGTTGTGACTCAGGACTTCAGATTAAACAAATGATTTTAATGGGTTTAAAATGTTTTTTCCCTTCTGATTTATAAAAGTAAGGCATACAAACTAAAATGTTTCTTAGAAGGTAAAAAGTATCAAAGGGCTAAGGAGCTGGTAGTTGTCTGACTCTAGACTAGAATGCACGCCTTGTCTCTGTCTCCCCTGGTTTTTCCCTTGCTGTGTCAGCAGGAGCTCGTCCTGTGGTGCTGAGTATTCCTTGAGGACACGGTTGTGGACAGGCCCTGTTTTAATCCTGCTCATCTTATTGTTCCCAGTCTTTCACTCTTACAAATAATACATCAGTGGTCACTCCAGCACATAAACATTTGGTTATTTCCTTAGGATAAATTCTTAGAAGTTGGTGCAAAGAATATTTTCAAGGTTCTTGTTTACCCTTAAGAAAGATGAGTCAATTAGAGGGCCTCTGCCCTCAGCCTCATCAAACCTGGGAATTTTTAAAATTTGCTTCTCTCTTTTATTTAAAAAAATTGTTTTGGCTGCACCTCGGGGCTTGTGGGATCTTACTTCCCTGACTAGGGGTTGAACCAGGCCCTCGGCAGTGACAGCGCAGAGTCCTAGCCACTGGACCGCCAGGGAAGTCCCCCCTGGGAATTATTTTTTAATTGCCAATTTGGTAAGGAAGAGACAGCAGTTCTTTTAAATTTACATTCTTTTGGATATTTCATGAGGTTGGACCTTTCTTCCGTGTTTCATTGTTTGTATTTTTTGTGAATTATCTTTCAGCTTCCTCCTCCGCCACCACCCTGCTTTTGGTGGGGGGGGCGGGGAGGTGGTGTTTGTCCTTAATGATTTTTAGGAGCTCTTTTTCACGGTAAGGGTGTTAATTCTATGTTAGTGTTAATTTATTTTAGTAAATAATAAGCATGCCGCCTTACTCTGCAGGCATGTGGATGTTTTATTTTTTATTCCCTCTCTTAGTTTACCTAAAGCAGTAAAACGAAGAATCAATGCCCTGAAACAGCTTCAGGTGAAATGTGCTCACATAGAAGCCAAGTTCTACGAAGAGGTTCATGACTTGGAGAGGAAATATGCAGCACTGTACCAGCCTCTCTTTGACAAGGTAGGGAACTCTGTTAGTAAGCTTAATTAGTATATTTCAGAAAGTTCTTTAGGCAGAACGCATCCAGATGTACCCAGTGAATCACTGAATGTTACTCTTTTTTTTTTCTTTTAACATCTTCATTGGAGTAGAATTGCTTTACAATGGTGTGTTAGTTTCTGCTGTATAACAAAGTGAATCAGCTATACATATACATATATCCCCATATCTCCTCCCTCTTGCCTCTCCCTCCCACCCTCCCTATCCCACCCCTCTAGGTGGTCACAAAATACCGAGCTGATCTCCCTGTGCTATGTGGCTGCTTCCCACTAGCTATCTGTTTTACATTTCGTAGTGTATATATGTCCATATATATATATATATATATATATATATATATATATATATATGTCCATATATATGTGTATATATATATATATATATATGGACATATATATATGGACATATATATATGTCCATGCCACTCTCTTACATCGTCCCAGCTTACCCTTCCCCCTCCCAGTGTCCTCAACTCCATTCTCTATGTCTGCGTCTTTATTTCTGTCCTGCCCTTAGGTTCTTCAGAACCGTTTTTTTTTTTAGATTCCATATATATGTGTTAGCATATGGTATTTGTTTTTCTCTTTCTGACTGACTTCACTCTGTATGGCAGACTCTAGGTCCATCCACCTCACTACAAATAACTCAATTTCGTTTCTTTTTATGACTGAGTGATATTCCATTGTATATATGTGCCACATCTTCTTTATCCATTCATCTGTCGATGGACACTTACATTGCTTCCATGTCCTGGCTATTGTAAATAGAGCTGCAGTGAACATTGTGGTACATGACTCTTTGGATTATGGTTTTCTCAGGGTATATGCCTGGTAGTGGGATTGCTGGGTCATATGGTAATTCTGTTTTTATTTTTTTAAGGAAACTCCTTGCTGTTCTCCGTAGTGGCTGTATCAATTTACATTCCCACCAACAGTGCAAGAGGGTTCCCTTTTCTCCACACCTATTGTTTGTAGATTTTTTGATGATGGCCATTTTGACTGGTGTGAGGTGATACCTCATTGTAGTTTTGATTTGCATTTCTCTAATAATTAGTGATGTTGAGCGTCCTTTCATGTGTTTGTTGGCAATCTGTATATCTTCTTTGGAGAAATGTCTATTTATGTCTTCTGCCCATTTTTGGATTGGGTTGGGTTTTTTTTGTTTTTTTTTTTTTGCGGTACGCGGGCCTCTCACTGTTGTGGCCTCTCCCGTTGAGGAGCACAAGCTCAGCGGCCATGGCTCACAGGCCCAGCCACGTTGAGCATCCTTTTATGTGTGTGCTGGCAATCTGTATATCTTCTTTAGAGAAATGTCTGTTTAGGTCTTCTGCCCATTTTGGGATTGGGTTGTCTGTTTTTTTTGATATTGAGCTGCATGAACTGCTTGTAAATTTTGGAGATTAATCCTTTGTCAGTTGCTTCATTTGCAAATACTTTCTCCCATTCTGAGGGTTGTCTTTTCATCTTGTTTATGTTTTCCTTTGCTGTGCAAAAGCTTTTAAGTTTCATTAGGTCCCATTTCTTTATTTTTGTTTTTATTTTCATTTCTCTAGGAGGTGGGTCAAAAAGGATCTTGCTGTGATTGATGTCGTAGAGTGTTCTGCCTATGTTTTCCTATAAGAGTTTGATAGTGTCTGTCCTTACATTTAGGTCTTTAATCCATTTTGAGGTTTTTTTTGTGTATGGTGTTAGGGAGTGTTCTAATTTCATTCTTTTGCATGTAACTGTCCAGTTTTCCCAGCACCACTTACTGAAGAGGCTGTCTTTTCTCCATTGTATAATCTTGCCTCCTTTATCAAAAACAAGGTGACTGTAGGTGCATGGGTTTATCTCTGGGCTTTCTGTCCTGTTCCATTGATCTGTATTTCTGATTCTGTGCCAGTACCATACTGTCTTGATTACTGTAGCTTTGTAGTATAGTCTGAAGTCAGAGAACCTGATTCCGCCACCTCTGTTTTTCTTTCTCAAGGTTGCTTTGGCTCTTTGGGGTCTCTTGTGTTTCCATACAAATTGTGAAATTTTTTGTTCTAGTTCTGTGAAAAATGCCATTGGTAGTTTGATAGGGATTGCATTGAATCTGTAGATTGCTTTGGGTAGTATAGTCATTTTAATAATGTTGATTCTTCCAATCCAAGAACACGGTATATCTCGCCATCTGTTTGTATCATCTTTAATTTCTTTCATCGTCTTATAGTTTTCTGCATACAGGTCTTTTGTCTCATTTGGTAGGTTTATTCCTAGGTATTTGCTTCTTTTTGTTGCAGTGGTAAATGGGAGTGTTTTCTTAATTTCTCTTTCAGATTTTTCATCACTAGTGTATAGGAATGCAAGAGATTTCTGTGTGTTAATTTTGTATCCTGCTACTTTACCACATTCATTGATTAGCTCTAGTAGTTCTCTGCTAGCATCTTTTGGATTCTCTACGTATCGTATCATGTCATCTGCAAACAGTGACAGCTTTACTTCTTTTCCAGTTTGGATTCCTTTTATTTCTTTTTCTTCTCTGATGTAGCTAAAACTTCCAAAGCTATGTTGAATAATGGTGAGAGTGGACAACCTTGTCTTTTTCCTGATCTTGGAAATGGTTTCAGTTTTTCACCATTGAGAATGATGTTGGCTGTGGGTTTGTCATATATGGCCTTTATCATGTTGAGGTAAGTTCCCTCTGTGCCTACTTTATGGAGAGTTTTTATCAAAAGTGGGTGTTGAATTTTGTTGAAAGCTTTTTCTGCATCTGTTGAGATGATCGTATGGTTTTTCTCCTTCAATTTGTTAATGTGGTCTATCACATTGATTGATTTGCATATACTGAAGAATCCTTGCATCCCTTGGATAAACCGCACTTGATCGTGGTGTATGATCCTTTTAATGTTCTCTTGGATTGTTTGCTAGTATTTTGTTGAGGATTTTTGCATCGCTGTTCATCAGTGATATTGGCCTGTAGTTTGTTTTCTCTGTGACATGTTTGTCTGGTTTTGGTATCAGGGTGATGGTGGCCTCATAGAATGAGTTTGGGGGTATTCATCCCTCTGCTATATTTGGGAAGATTTTGAGAAGGATGGGTGTTAGCTCGTCTCTAAATGTTTGATAGAATTTGCTTGTGAAGCCATCTGGTCCTGGGCTTTTGTTTGTTGGAAGATTTTTAATCACAGTTTCAATTTCAGTGCTTGTGATTGGTCTGTTTATATTTTCTGTTTCGTCCTGGTACAGTCTCGGAAGGTTGTGCTTTTCTAAGAACGTTTCCATTTCTTCCACGTTGTCCATTTTATTGGCATATAGTTGCTTGTAATACATGATCCTTTGTATTTCTGCAGTGTCAGTTGTTACTTCTCCTTTTTCATTTATAATTCTGTTGATTTGAGTCTTCTCCCTCTTTTTCTTGATGAGTCTGGCTAATGGTTTTACAATTTTGTTTATCTTCTCAAAGAACCAGCTTTTAGCTTTATTGATCTTTGCTGTGGTTTCCTTCATTTCTTTTTCATTTATTTCTGATCTGATCTTTATGATTTCTTTCCTTCTGCTAATTTTGGGGGGGGTTTTGTTCTTTCTCTGATTGCTTTAGGTGTAAGGTTCGGCTGTTTATTTGAGATGTTTCTTGTTTCTTTTTTTTTTTTTTTTTTTTTTTTGCGGTACGCGGGCCTCTCACTATTGTGGCCTCTCCCGTCGTGGAGCACAGGCTCCGGACGTGCAGGCTCAGTGGCCGTGGCTCACGGGCCCAGCCACTCCGCGGCATGTGGGATCTTCCTGGGCCGGGACACAAACCAACCACTGCGCCACCAGGGAAGCCCTGTTTCTTGTTTCTTGAGGTAGGATTGTATTGCTATAAACTTCCCTCTTAGAACTGCTTTTGCTGCATCCCATAGGTTTTGGGTCGTCATGTTTTCATTGTCATTTGTTGCTAGGTATTTTTTTTATTCCCTCTTTGATTTCTTCAGTGATCTCTTGGTTACTTAGTAGCGTATTGTTTAGCCTCCATGTATTTAGGTTTTATTTTACATATTTTTCCCTGTAATTGATATCTAGTCTCATAGCGTTGTGGTTGGAAAAGATACTTGATATAATTTCAGTTTTCTTAAATTTACCAAGGCTTGATTTGTGACCCAAGATATGATCTATCCTGGAGAATGGTCCATGAGCACTTGAGATGAAAGTGTATTCTGTTGTTTTTGGATGGAATGTCCTATAAATATCAAGTCCATCTTGTTTAATGTATCATTTAAAGCTTGTATTTCCTTATTTATTTTCATTTTGGATGATCTTCTGTCCATTGGTGAAAGTGAGGTGTTAAAGTCCCCTGCTATGATTGTGTTACTGTCGATTTCCCCTTTATGGCTGTTAGCATTTGCCTTATGTATTGAGGTGCCCCTGTGTTGGGTGCATAAATATGTACAATTGTTATATCTTCTTCTTGGATGGATCCCTTGGTCACTATGTAATGTCCTTCTTTGTCTCTTGTAATAGTCTTTATCTTAAAGTCTATTTTGTCTGATATGAGAATTGCTACTCCAGCTTTCTTTTGATTTCCATTTGCATGGAATATCTTTTTCCATCCCCTCAGTTTCAGTCTGTATGTGTCCCTAGGTCTGAAGTGGGTCACTTGTAGACAGCATGTATACAGGTCTTGTTTTCGTATCCATTCATCCAGTCTGTATCTTTTGGTTGGAGCATTTAATCCATTTACATTTAAGGTAGGTATCGATATGTATGTTCCTGTAATTACCATTTTCTTAATTGTTTTGGGTTTGTTATTGTAGGTCTTTTCCTTCTCTTGTGTTCATGCCTAGAGAAGTTCTTTTAGCATTTGTTGTAAAGCTGGTTTGGTGGTGCTGAATTCTCTTCGTTGCTTGTCTGTAAAGGTTTTAATTTCTCTGTCAAATCTGAATGAGATTCTTGCCGGGATGAGTAATCTTGGTTGTAGGTTTTTCCCTTTCATCACTTTACATATGTCCTGCCACTCCCTTCTGCCTTGCAGAGTTTCTGCTGAAAGATCAGCTGTTAACCTTATGGGGATTCCCTTGTATGTTATTTGTTGTTCTTCCCTTGCTGCTTTTAATATTTTTTCTTTGTATTTAATTTCTGATAGTTTGATTAATATGTGTCTTGGCGTGTTTCTCCTTGGATTTATCCTGTATGGGACTCTGCAGTTCCTGGACTTGATTAACTATTTCCTTTCCCATGTTAGGGAAGTTTTCAACTATAATCTCTTCAAATATGTTCTCAGTCCCTTTCTTTTTCTCTTCTTCTTCTGGTACCCCTGTTACTCGAATGTTGGTGTGTTTCATGTTGTCCCAGAGGTCTCTGAGACTGTCCTCAATTCTTTTCATTCTTTTTTCTTTATTCTGCTCTGCGGTAGTTATTTCCACTATTTTATCTTCCAGGTCACTTACCCGTTCTTCTGCCTCAGTTATTCTGCTATTGATCCCATCTAGAGTATTTTTCATTTCATTTAGCATGTTGTTCATCATTGTTTGTTTGCTCTTTAGTTCTTCTAGGTCCTTGTTAAACGTTTCTTGTATTTTCTCCATTCCATTTCCAAGATTTTGGATCACCTGTACTATCATTGCTCTGAATTCTTTTTCAGGTAGACTGTCTGTTTCCTCTTCATTTGTTTGGTCTGGTGGGTTTTTACCTTGCTTCTTCATCTGCTGCATATTTCTCTGTCTTCTCCTTTTCCTTATCTTACTGTGTTTGGGGTCTCCTTTTCGCAGGCTGCAGGTTCATAGTTCCCGTTGTTTTTGGTGTCTGACCTCAGTGGGTAAGACTGGTTCAGTGGGTTTTGTAGGCTTCCTGGGGGAGGGGACTGGTGCCTGTGTTCTGGTGGATGAGGCTGGATCTTGTCTTTCTGGTGGGCAGGACTGCATCTGGTGGTGTGTTTTGGGGTGTCTGTGACTTTTTTATGATTTTAGGCAGCCTCTCTGCTGATGGGTGGGGTTGCGTTCCTATCTGGCTAGTTGTTTGGCATAGGGTGTCCAGCGCTGGAGCTTGCTGGTCGTTGAGTGGAGGTGGGCCTTAGCGTTGAGATGGAGATCTCTGGGCGAGCTTTTACTGTTTGATATTACGTGAGCCCGTGAGGTCTCTGGTGGACCAGTGTCCTGAACTCTCCTACCTCAGAGGCACAGGTCTGACACCCAGCTGGAGCACCAAGGCCCTGACAGCCACACGGCTCAGAAGAAAAGGGAGAAAAAAAGAATGAAAAAGAAAGAGAGAGACTCAGAGAGACAGAGAGAGAGAGAGAGAGGAGAGAGGAGAGAGAGATTTATTAAAACTAAAAATAAATTAATAAAAATAAAAAAATGTTTAAAGTAATTTAAAAAGAAGAAGAAAACAAGAAAGAAGAGAGCAACCAAACCAAAAAACAAATCCACCAATGATAGCAAGCATTAAAATCTATACTTTAAAAAAAAAAAAAAAGACAGAACCCTAGGACAAATGGTAAAAGCAAAGCTATACAGACAAAATCACACAAGGAAGCATACACATACACACTCACAAGAGGAGAAAAAGGGAAAATATATATATATATATATATATATATATACGTATATTAAAAAAGAAGGAAGACAGCAACCAAATGAGTAAACAAATCTACCAATGATTATAAACTCTAAATACTAAACTAAGATAAACATAAAACTGGAAACAAATTAGATGCAGAAAGCAAACCCCAAGTGTACAGTTGCTCTCAAAGTCCATCCCCTCAATTTTGGGATGATTTGTTGTCTGTTCAGGTATTCCACAGATGCAGGGTTCATCAAGTTGATTGTGGAGATTTAATCTGCTGCTCCTGAGGCTGCTGGGAGAGATTTCCCTTTCTCTTCTCTGTTCACACAGCTCCCGGGGTTCAGCTTTGTATAGGCCCCGCTTCTGCATATAGGTCACCTGAGGGCGTATCGTTCATACAGGACAGGGCTAAAGGAGCATCTGATTAGGGGGCTCTGACTCACTCGGGCTGGGGGGAGGGAGGGGTACGGAATGTGAGGTGACATTACAACCACCTGAGGCACACCGTGTGTTCTCCCGGGGAAGTTGTCTCTGGATCACAGGACCCTGACAGTGGCGGGCTGCACAGGCTCCCGGGAGGGACGGTGTGGATAGTGACCTGTGTTTGCACACAGGCTTCTTGGTGGCAGCAGCAGCCTTTGCGTCCCATGCCCGTCTCTGGGGTCCGCGCAGATAGCTGCGGCTCGCACCCGTCTCTGGAGCTCGCTTAAGCAGTGCTCTGAATCCCCTCTCCTCGCGCACCCCGAAACAATGGTCTCTTGCCTCTTAGGCAGGTCCAGACATTTTCTCGGACTCCCTCCCGGCTAGCTGTGGTGCACTAGCCCCCTGCAGGCTGTGTTCACGCAGCCAACCCCAGTCCTCTCCCTGCGCTCTGACTGAAGCCCCCACCCGTCCGGCGGTGAGCAGACAAGCCTCTCGGGCTGGTGAGTGCTGGTCGGCACCGATCCTCTGTGCGGGGAATCTCTCCGCTTTGCCCTCCGCACCCCTGTGGCTGCGCTTTCCTCCGTGGCTCTGAAGCTTCCCTCCTCCGCCCCCTGCAGTCTCCGCCCGCGAAGGGGCTTCCTAGTGTGTGGAAACCTTTCCTCCTCCACGGCTTCCTCCCCGAGGTGCGCGTCCCGTCCCTATTCTTTTGTCTTTGTTTTTCCTTTTTTCTTTTGCCCTACCCAGGTACGTGGGGAGTTTCTTGCCTTTCGGGAAGTCTGAGGTCTTCTGCCAGCGTTCAGTAGGTGTTCTGTAGGAGTTGTTCCATATGTAGATGTATTTTTGATGTCTTTGTGGGGAGGAAGGTGATCTCCGTGTCTTACTCCTCTGCCATCTTGAATGTCTCCCCGAATGTTATTCTTTAAGCCCCAAAACTTAGAATCTTAAGCTATAAAAGCATCCAGTTTTCAGTCTTTTTATACACATTTTTTACAAGTTCACTGTCTTTACTCTCAAGTTTCTGAGTAACTGAATGTAACAGTAAGAAGATCTCGTTTTTACTTAGAGAAGGGAATTCATCACTGGTGATGCCGAGCCGACAGACGCAGAATCCGAATGGCACAGTGAGAATGAAGAGGAGGACAAATTGGCCGTAAGTTTTTTTTAATGAGCGCCACTTGTGTTCTGTTTCAATGCTGTTAGAAATAAGATGCTTTGGGGTGGTGATCTAGTGGTTAGGATTTTGCACTTTCACTGCTGTGGCCTGGGTTAAATCCCTGGTCTGGGGAACTGAGATCCCGTGCAGCGCGGCTGGTGGGGAAAAAAAAGAAATTTGATGGGTTTCTTTTACAAAGAAAAGAGCTCCTAACGGTAGGTGCGGCTTCAGCCTTAGGTTGGGTGTTTAGATTTCTTTATGGCAGTGAAACCGGACAGCTTGGTTCTGTTAGTTAATATGGTGAGCCAGACACCTTTCTCAGCCGTCTGTGGCCCCTCTGCACAGTGGTACAGTGAGATAAGGAAGCGATCAGGGCAGTGGAGATTAAAACATCAGAAAAAGTCTTAGTCGAGAGAAAGCAAAAACCCACAAGGGAGAGCACAGCTGTGTCTATGGAAGGGCAGGTACTAGAGGGTGGGCTGTGGTGGGGAGAGCACACTGGAAACATCCGTGCCGTCCTTCTCGGGGACCAGCGGTGACAGTGAAGTAGCCGCAGTGCCTCTCTCGCCACTTTACATTTTTGGTAAATGGTCCTTTTGGTCACGTGCCCTGTCCATCACCTGCTTGCAGCCTTTTTTTTGGTGACGGGCATCTTTCCAGTGCCACGGAAAGTCACAGAACGACAAGGTGAACTTTGTTGACCTGATTTTACATTTGGGAGTGGCTTTTCTATCCTATAGTATCAACTTCCGGGGTTTTTTTGTTTTTGTTTTTTTAAGTGTATGTTAGTTTTGGTAGCTATACATCTTTCTGATCTTTTAAAAACATGTAGAGTCTAGCGTAGTTGAAGCCATGCCGGTGGATCAATATAGTTGTGAATCAGTTCTTCATTGTGCGAGGAAAATCTGCCCCTGTTAACTTAAAAAGCCCTTTGTGATCATGTCCTCCTAAGAATCACATGTCAGGCCTGTGATGTTAGAAAAGACTACCCTCCTCGTGGCCACATCGCCTTTCTTGTCACCCCCCCTGATGTTCGCATGGTGCCTCTGTCCCGACATCTCCGTATCATTGGACATGCAGCTTGCGGGGCAGTTTCTTGTTGCTGGAGATCCTGGAGTATCCCTCTGGTGGTTATCCCAGGAGGGACAGCGAGCCAGTGCCCCCCAAGTCGGGGGGGGCATTGTATCAGCTCTTCAGCTCTTTTCCCCTTGATCTAAAGTTACATCATGGAGTTACGTCTGGCTGGAATGCCTTAAATGCTTTGTTCCTCAGAGACATTGGAAACTGTGATGGGCACAGTGGTCTTGGAGATGCAGTTTCAAAGAGCAAGGGTTTTTGATAGAAGTTTACATGGGATTCTGAAAATATGGTCTGTATTAAGCCATTCAGTTATTTGTAAAGTTGTTGCTTCATGATAAGTATCCAATTTTGCATCTTATTTTTCTAGGGAGACATAACAAATAAAGCAGTCATAGCAGAAAAAGAAGCAGCAGCAGCAGAAGAGCCAAACCCCAAAGGAATCCCAGAGTTCTGGTTTACCATCTTCCGAAATGTAGAGATGCTAAGTGAGTTAGTTCAGGTAAGCACACAGGCACATTCCCACTTTAGAGAAGACATTATTTATTTGTGAACTTTCAACAGCATGTCTAGCAATTGTTGATTGTGGGTGGAAAGGCGCCTTCTGTGACCATAACTCAGAGGAGTCAGGGTCCCCGGGAGGCCTGGCTGCAGCTGGAGCCCCCGTGCGCCCTCGTGTAGCGGCCCTCACGGAAAGGCCTGCCACGCGGAACCTCCGCCGAGCTTAGGGTCGCTTTGTCTCCTGTAAAGTGTCTGTTGTCTCACCCCAGGAAGCTTGTTAACAGATTCCAGACCCTTCTCTGCCTCACAGTGATGTGGACAAGCGAGAAGTGTGAGGACGAGGGGAGAGAGTAGAGGAGTTGGTACTGAGCGGTGAAGCGCGCGTGCGCGTGTGCACGTGTACCCGTGAGCGCGTTTACACACAGGCGCACGCTCGCTGGCACGCAGTCTTCCGTTTTGATTTTTAAAATTTGAAATGGGCCTATTGTGCCGCCTTGCTAATTGTACAAATATTTAACAAGCTGCTAATAATTTCTAATCATTTTCCTTGAAAAAGTCTTTTTTTTAAAATGGGAATGGTCAAACTTTCTTTGTCTTGCCTTGTTGAGCTTTCTCTAATGAAATGGTGAACCAGTTAAAAAGTAACAAATGTGACTTTCCCTGAGCTCAGTTATGGTAGAAGTTTCCAGAATTCAGAAATAGGTACTGCTCAGAAGTCCACAGAGGGGGCCATCTCTGCATTTGGACTTATTCCAGACGGGTCAGCGCAGTGCTTTTATGTCAGAGCACGGCCACAGGTGGCGGGCAGCTAGCTCGCTCTACTGCACTTTGCAGAGGTTTCACAGCTGCAGTTAGAATGGTTCCAGAGAGTTGCTGTGTTGCTACGTCTGCTGCCCGCCTTGTTCAGTGCTTATCTGTAAGCCAGAACTGAAGAAAAGGTGGAGGGGATGCGTTTCTTACTCCCCTTCCAGACGGGGGGACCATTTAAAATACATGACTTAACAATGCCTGTGTTTTCTTGTCTCATGCGAAAAGGTGCGGTTTAAGAGTACTAGACCATTGGGAATTCCCGGCGGTCCAGTGGTTAGGACTTGGCCCTTTTACTGCCAGGGCCCGGGCTCAGTCCTTGGTTCGGGAACTAAGATCCCATAAGCCGAGCGGCGTGGCCAAAACAAAGAAAAGAAAGAAAGCATACTAGACCAAGAATACTAGAGACTAGAACGTCATGAGCCAGAAATTTATTGGGAAAATTGAGTAATATATGCTAGAACCAGATTCTCACCCTGCCTGTAGGTTAGTCACTTGGGCAACTTTTAAAACTAAATAGCAGCATCAGTGCCTCCCCACCCGCAGGTCGGCGAGAGTTTGAGGTGTTTGCAGAAGCTCTCCCATGATTCCAGTGTACCCCCAAGGGCTGAGAATCCCCGTGTGCCGGCAGGGCAGATGGAGAAGGGTGCGTGTACCTGTCACTGGGACGTCTCGTGGAAGTGCAGGCTCTGAGTCAGTAGGTCTGGGTGGGGCCTGAGGATCTTCGTTTCTGACGTGTCCCCCAGGTGATGCCCGTGCTGCAGGTTGGGGGCGCACTGTGAGTGGTGGCAGGGGTGTCACGAGGTAGGCTTTTTGGTGCCGGTTAGGCGGCTTGATTGGGGGACCTGGCTCCTGGTGTTGCCCGGCCAGCCAGTTAGTAACCCAGGGATGGCGCTGCTGCTTTGTCTGTAGCATTTCTTTGGTTTCAAGTACAGTCAGCTGTACTTGAATGAGGTGACTCTTCCATTCTCCCAGCACCTCTGTCTTCGTATCAGTGCTTCAGTGTTTATGCCACAGAGTGTCTCGCTGCTTTTTGTGTTACAGTTGTAAAAAGGCGTGTCATTTTTTGAGTACTCATTTAGTATGCAGAGAGAGATGAAATCTGGTTCGGGCCGTTTATAACCTGAAGCAAGTAATGGTACTGGTTCCATTTTGGTCAGACGTTAAGTTCCAAAGGTGGGTTTGGCTGTAGGTCCTTGGGTTCTCTGTTGGTGGTGGCCAAGATAGGTCCAAAAGCAGAGTTTTGAAACTTAGGGAGAGCAGCTTTAAGTCAGTCCCTGAGTTGCTTCCACTGTTGGCCCTGAGTTTCGGGCCTGCTAACTTAGGGCTTTCCGTCGTGGTCTGGGCCACAGAAGGCCCCTGGCCCTCAAGCCACGGGGCTGTTGGAGGAGATCAGGAGCGTGATGGCCGCCTCCTGGCTCTGGGGCGGCGCCAGTGCTGCTGCTTCACTGCGGTGAGCTCGAAGGTCCCAGTGCCGCGCATCTGGGAAACATACTGGTGATACGTTCGCCTTGGCGATTCCAGAACTAGGCATACGTGCTCAGTCAGTGATACCAGTGATCTTGGAGCCAGGTGTTTTCTGGTTCTAGAATTTAGGACTTGACCTCTCAGACTGATGTGGCCTTCTTTGAAAACTGCCTTGGACTTTTTGTCTAGAGACTTGGAAGGTGCCTTTGTTACTGCTCTTTTTTTTGGTTTGTTCTATGCAGGCAGACCTCGGAGACATTGTGGGTTTGGTTCCAGACCCCTGCACTAAAGTGAATGTAGCATTAAAGTGAGTCGCATGAATTTTTTGGTTCCCCGGTGCGTCATAAAAGTTAGGTTTACACTGTACTGTAATCTGTCTGCTAAGTGTGCAATAGCAGTTATGTCTCGAAAGTGTACGCACCTCAATTTAAAAATGCTTCATTGCTAAAAACTCCTAACCGTTGTCTGACAGTGCAGGGTTGTCACAGACCTGCAATTTGCAACAAGAGCAACAACAACAAAAAACCCCAAAACCACCAAAATATCCGTGAAGCACAGTAAAGTGAAGGGCGTTGAACGAGGTCTGCCTGTGACGCAGAAAGAATTTAAAATTGGGAAGTTGGTAGTTATCAGGCTCAGCGGAACCTCAGGACATCCTTTTGGTCCAGTCCCCAGACTCCAGGGTGGAGTGACTGTTTCACAAATAAAGCACCTCTCGTGAGTATGTGGTCACTGGGTTTCAGGTCCTGTGATTTTTTTTTTTTTTCCTGAGTTTTCCTCACTTGGCCTTTCTCAAACGACAGGCCCTGGTGAACTTCCGTGTTTGCATAACGATGACTCGTAAAGGCATAGAGCCATCGTTAGAGGCTCTTCCGTAGTGCCTGCCATTAGATCTCAGACCTGCTTTGTGAGTGTCCTTGACTGTGTGTGTTGTTGGATTTGGGATATTTATCACCACGTGCCCTAAGCGAGGGGAATTGGCTGCCAAGGTCGGTAGCTTGTCCAGGCATTTCTTCTGATTCTGTCTCTTAGGAGATGCTGAGGACCAGCAGTCTTAATTGACGGCATTTCCGACCCTGTCTATACTGGCAGCTGGTGGGGCTGTGAAATCAGTCAGGGCTCTTGCCCCTGGCAATGAACGCGATGCCCTTCTGGCTTGGCATTGGTGGTTACCAGTGCTCCGTGCCAGACAAAGGTGGCACCTCATTGCTGCCACCCTAAGACTGCTAGTGACTGAACAAATTTGGGTGGCTTCCTGGGAGTGACAAGGATAGAATTCCAACAGGGCTGATTATCCAGTGTCTAGGAGTAGATGCAACAGTGACTCAGTGAGAACATGTGTGTTGTCTGTAAAAGCTCACCAGAACTTTCTTTTCTTCTCTTTATGGTTAGGAATATGATGAGCCAATCTTGAAACACCTGCAGGATATCAAAGTGAAATTTTCAGACCCTGGACAGCCTATGGTGAGTATTGATTATTTGAACTCCTGGCTGGTGTCAGAAAGGCTCAGGCCACTAAGGGTAAAGGGCTTAGAGCCAGAAATCCACACCGGGCCATTCACTTGTTGGGTGACTGGAGTGAGACGTGTGTTCTCACATCGCGTTCCTGGGCCTCACCCGGCAGTGTGCACAGCCGGACAGTAACTCAGTCCACCAGCTGTTCGGGGGCAGGCTCAGGAGTCAGGCACAGGAGGGGACTCCTCCGACGTGGCATCCACTGTGCCATGCTGTGGTTTCTGGGCTAGTTTGTTTCCTCTGTCAGATGGGGTGATGTCATCCTCCTCCTAAGCATCTCCCAGGTTTGTGAGGGTGGAATGTATGTAAAACAGGCTGCAAAGGATGGTTGGTACGTATTCAAATATAAGCAGCACTTTAACAGAAATCCAAGATACTGGTGAAGGAAATGTACTAGGTTTTACCTTCAAGAATCCCTGCGGATACATAAGACTGAAAACATGTTTCCCTGCTCTTTGATTTGTCTGGAAACACATCTATCCAGAATACTTGCTCTTGTAGGCTGCCTGCCAGTTAGTGAGGGGAGTTTGACCTAAGCCAGCCTTTCCTTTTCTGCGAAGCAGCCTTGAGACGGTGATGCCTGTGCTGGGGTCCTCGGGGAGCACTGTTCGTGACCTCCCGGTCTACCTGTGGCTGGTGGGTTCCATTCCAGTGCCACAGCAATTCCAGCACCACACAACTGACTGCCTGCCTGGTGGCTCTTGGTTTCAGGTTTTGAAGACACAGTGCCTGAGGGCCGTGGGGCTGAGGCCCGGTCTCTTCCCACTTCCCCACCACAGAGCACTGTGAGCGGGATTCCCTGTACCCTGGCCTGCAGGTGATGCCTGCTGGGGGCAAGGGGTGGGGGCACACACACCTGTATCTGTCCCTTTCCTGGTCTGCTCCACTCTGGAGGTGACATTCACACATCCCTCCGCAGGTGGGGTGTGGGCACCAGCCAGAGTGATGCCTTCTCACAGGTTGGGGGTCAGTCTGGTAGCTGAGGGAGCCCCTTCTTTCCTACCGCACCCAGGTTATTGCAGGGCCTTCCTCTTGTCAGTTTCTTCCCAGTAATCGCTCCTCACCTGTGCGAGGCTTGGCCACAGCGTCCCCTAGAGGCCTCCTGTGGCAGAGTGCTGTAGTTTGCTGTGATGGGTGTGAATTCTCTTTGCGCGCGCGCGTGTGTGTGTGTGTGTGTGTGTGTGTGTGGTGTGCGTCGTGCGTGCGCGCGCGCACATGCACGCACCTGTTTGATGATTTCCTTGGTCCATTCCCTTTCTTCCTCAACCCATCTGTCTTATATTTTCCTCGGTCTCTTCCGTGGCCCATAGACAGGCTAGAGCCCTAGCTGTGGTAGACTGTAAGCCATCGTGAAAGTCATACGTGCTTGCATAAGAAAAGTTAGAAAGTACAGAGAAGTGTACAGAACGCTGTGCACTCTGTCTTTTAGAGATAACTGTCAGCAGCTTAGTGAATTTACCCATAGTCTCTGCGCTTTTTAAAATTGTTATGAAACGGGGTCGTCCCTGCCTGCCAGTGCAGGGGACACGGGGTTCGAGCCCTGGTCCGGGAGGATCCCACATGCCGTGGAGCAACTAAGCCCGTGCGCCACAACTACTGACCCTGCACTCTAGAGCCCACGAGCCACAACTACTGAGCCTGCACGCCTAGAACCTGTGCTCCTCAACGAGAAGCCACCGCAATGAGAAGCCCGCACACCACAACCAAGAGCAGCCCCCACTCGCCACAACTAAAGAAAGCCCGCACAGCAACAGAGAACCAATGCAGCAATCAATCAGTCAATCAACAAATAAATAAAATGTCTAAAGAAAACAAAATGAAACCACCTTACTTCAGAGGGAAACACAGCCAGGGTGTTTGCCCCTCCCCAGGGTCACTCTCCAGGGTCACCTTGTTTGTACCTCAGCAAAGTGGAATCCCAGTGTGTGGACAGTGTTGCACTGCTCTCTTCACCTCATGTAGGCCCTACGGGGTGGAAAATAGTTGCTGCATCTGTTGGCTATAAAAAGGTTCAACAGGGCTTCCCTGGTGGCGCAGTGGTTGAGAGTCTGCCTGCCGATGTTGGGGACACAGGTTCGTGCCCCGGTCTGGGAAGATCCCATATGCCGCGGAGCGGCTGGGCCTGTGAGCCATGGCCGCTGAGCCTGCATGTCCGGAGCCTGTGCTCCGCAACAGGAGAGGCCACAGCGGTGAGAGGCCCGCGTACCGCAAAAAAAAAAAAAAGGTTCAACATTCCCCAGAATATGCCACTGCCACCACCACCCCGTTATAAATTGTTGCGTTATGATCAGCTTACTTGTGCCCCAAGCTTTTGTTTAAATTTCTGATGATTTCCTCAGTTTAGGTTCCTTTTAGTGTAATTACTGGGTCGAAGGAGACAAACCTTTTTAAGGCCCAAAGGTGGTTCAATTTACACTCCTGATGATGCTAGTGGTATCTTTTTACACTTTTCTTTTTGTAATAATAACATCTTTTGGTTTCTTTCTATGTTGAAATAATTTCAAGCTTAGAGCAGCACTGCAGCAACAGTACAGAGAATCCCCGTATGTCGTTTGCCTGGACTTGAGTTGTCTGCTTTGACCACATGGGCAGCGTTGGCCTGGGGACTGCCTCCTCTCTTCTCAGCACAAATGTCGGCAAAGACAGTAGCAGCCGTGTTTACTTTGCTGGGCAGAAGAGATGGAATTTTACACTTAATTGCGAGTGTGGCTGGGCATTTGTCATATGTTCAGGGCTGACTTGGCTGTAGGGGGGTGTGAATGAGGTCTCCTCGTCCTTGGGCCCTGTTCTGTTGGACCGTTAGACACTTCCTGTAAATCATCCCCAGTTGTGTTTGACTCATTCTTGACTAAACAGAGGCCTATAGGGAAAGTAGGAAGATACGAAGAAAGCAAGCAGCAGCCTTGGTTTGGAGAAATGGCAGGAGAAGGACATGGGGAGAGAGAGGAAAATAAATAATTCTGTCCGTATCTATATGGACGTAATGAAGGACGGAATAGAACAGTGCCATTCGTTAGCCCAGCCCAGTCCCCAGGGTGGGTCATCCACACCTGTGGTCACCACCCTCAGCAGTTCTCAAGTAATAGCAGTCTCCACCGACTGAAGTCCAAGATAAAGATCGGGTTTATGGGGCCTGGGGTCAGCTTCAGGAGAGCCATGGAGAGGGATTCCGCCGATGTTCTGATTCCCCAGAGCTGCCTTCCTGTCTTCGCTGCACTTTGGTTTTGCCAGCCTAGTGACTTGTGGGTGTTGACCTCCCTTCCCCTCCAGCCCACACCATGCTGGCAGGGGTCAGTGGAGACCTGGCCAGATCCCTGCCATCCCTTCTGAGCACTGACAGGACCGCCTCCGACCCTCTTGGCTGCTTGTGTCTGTACGTCCCAGGCCCTTGTGGCCCTTTTCTTCCTCATCCCCCTTTTGGGGGAGTTCTTATTTCACTTCCCCTCGTGGAAGTGGCTTGTTTTTAGTCTTCTTAATTGTTTTCTCAACTGATGGTTGTACCATTACAATAAAAATAGAAATAGCTAACATTTAGCAAGTAATGCCTGTAAACCTGGCCCTGTTCTAAGTGCTTCCATAGATTAATCCTCAAGTGGACTCATGGAGAGAAAGGGTTGTTTATTCCATTTTGCAGGTGAGGAAACGAAAGCATAGGGACGTTGAATAGCTTCCCAGAATCACACAGCACTGACAGGCAGAGGCTGTCCAGACCCAGAGCCGGTCCTTTAGACTGTTATTTACTTCCCCCAGGTTGTCTTGTCAGAAGGGCTGAGGTCAGTATCTTTGGACATGCTGCTGCATCCATCCAGGTAGCTTTTTGAAACAGGACGCATTCCTCAAAACAGAATTATTGGGTCCCAGAATGTTTTTTATTTTGTTAATATTTTGATATTGCCAAATTGCCCTTCACAAAGCCCTTTACGGTATATGAGTGCCCCTGGCTTCCCAAAACACCTGCCAGTACCATGTGTTCTTCGGACATTTTGCACAGAAAGGGGCCGTCTCATTTTATTTTTCATTTATTTTGTTACTGTGCACACGAATATCTTCTGATTTGTTACTAGTGCTCTGTACACCCGTTTGTCCATTCCTCCCATGCGTGTCTCTAGGTCTGAAGAGTGCTTTGTGAGTGAAGGGTGAACTTGTCCTTGGTGTGGTTTGAAGAGGCCCAGTCACTGCCTCCCCTTCTCTCCCCACGTGGAGTCTTGGTCCTTTCGCTGCACGGCAGAGAAGGAGCTGCTCTGCCCAAGAGAAAGGAGAGGGGGGACAGGGTTCTGCTGCCGCCTTCTGCCTCCAGACCCCCACCCTGCTGTGCTCTTGGGGAAGGGAGGGTGGGGCAGCAGGGAGAAGCCACACTCCTCAGGAGAGCTTGTCCTCCCTGGGAGGGGCGGTGGCGGGGCCCAAAGGGTGATGGGCGTTTGCCCGCCTGCTGCTGTGCTTGACCTGTGCTGGTGGTTTTGCAGTAAGCAAGTTCTTACGTGGCAACACCTGTTGAGCTTTTCAGTCATGGTTTCTGCCTGTGGTGTCATGCTTAGGGAAGAGCTGGGTTCCAGTAAGTACCGTGTGATTCATAAAGTGGGTCGCTAGTTAGTCATAGATTTTAAGTGGTGCTTAGCCCAGTTTTTGTCTTTTTTTCCAGTCTTTTGTATTAGAGTTCCACTTTGAATCCAACGACTACTTTACCAATTCAGTCCTGACAAAAACGTACAAGATGAAGTCAGAGCCAGATAAGGCCGATCCCTTTTCCTTTGAAGGTCCTGAAATAGTTGACTGTGACGGGTAAGGAAATGCCATTTCAACTTCTTTTTCTGAAACAAAAGCAGGAGATGGTTTTACAACTTTACAAGTAAGATGGAAGTTAGGAATAAAGCAGAAAGCCTTTAATCTGTTTAAAAGCCCAAAAGACAAAGATGGAAATTAAAGACTCTCTCTGGGAATGTGATGACTGGTGCTGGGAAATGTATCACGTGGGCACGTGGGCCAGGGTTTGGGGTAGTGGTCTGATTTCCTCGTCTTAATGAGGGTATTGGGATCTCCAGTCACCGCAAGAGAAGCAGTGATCATTGGACTGATAAATTCCTCTCAGCGGGTATTTGTTGAGTGAATGAGTGAGTCAGTGCAGGGCAGCACTGACCGCGGTGGGGCAGCATGAGCGTGGTTGGCCTCAGGGCTGAGCGCCTTGGTGATTGCAGCCTGTGGACCACCAAGGAGGGTGGCTTGGAGTTCACTCCTCTTGGTTGGTTTGAGACGGTTTGGGAAATTGTTTTATTCTTGATTGAAACAGTTATCCTTATTCACTGAACCAAGTACTTATCCTGATGAATCTCCCTGTGTGAGTAATACAGAACTCTTAAAATCCTGCTAGACTGAAATGGCCAGAGTAATGTAGATTGTTTCCCACGGCCAGGCCATCGGGTGAGGCGGCCTGCCTTTCCAGGCATGTCCTTGCGCAGACGCTATTCAGACACTGCCAGGGCTTACCTGTTGGTCCAAGGTGATTCAGAGTGCGGTCCCCACCAAGGGCCGCTCAGCACACTTGGAACATTTGTGTCTTGCTCCGGTCACCAGTGTTTGCGGTAGCCACCTGCTTGCTTTCTCCAACTTGTCCCACTCGCGTAGTTAGTTGTCATGAGAATTCAGGCGCCTGAGCGGGTGGCTTCCTGTGCGCTGTGGGGTCTGTGAAGGGGCAGCAGGTGACAAGTCCTTGAGCGGGCATGGTCACGGGAAGAGTGTTGGAGGACCCCTGCGAAACGTCTGGGGGTTAAAGCTGTGCAGCTGTGGGAGCTGCCACGCTGACAGCCTGCCTGGCGGGGCCCTCCGCCTTCACTGGCCTTCGCGTGAGCTCACCGTGTGCCGAGTGCTTGCTCGCAGGTTGTTAAGTTGTTTTGGGGTTAAGCACAGAGCTGTGATTTGCTTGCTGGGCACACATGTGACCAGTTTTTCTCATGGAGTGTGTCCCGCCGTGATCACGGTCATGTCCCTGTAGGTGTACCATTGACTGGAAGAAAGGAAAAAATGTAACAGTCAAAACCATCAAGAAAAAGCAGAAACATAAGGGCCGAGGCACCGTCAGAACAATCACCAAGCAAGTCCCCAGCGATTCCTTTTTCAACTTCTTCAGTCCGCTGAAAGGTGAGTGGGCTGGGGTGTGACTGCAGGTTACACACAGAATGACTGCTAACATCAGGAGGGCGGTTCTGGTCCTCTGGCATGCGTTGGGGGGCGGAGCCGTGGCCGAGCGGGCGGGCCCACGGGTGCCTGTCCTGGCAGGAGGGTGAGCCTGGGCAGCTGTTGGAGCTGCATGCCCCCGCCCCCAGGGGGAGGGGTCCGCGTGGCTGCTCTGCTCACACCCCTACAGCCCACTCCTCCGTCTCAGGGGGGTTTTGGGTTTTTTCTTCGAGCCTTGGGATGGAGCACAAGGGGTTTGGGGACTTACATATTGTGACAGACACAGATGTAGGACAGAATCATAGCTTGGACGCTTGTTCTCTGCTCCCTGCTCCCACCCCCCGGTGAAAGAGAGATGAAAGTAGTAATGGCTCAGCTGCTGGTTTTGAGGAAAATTACTTGGAAGTCTCCACATAATTTCCTGATCCTGAGAATTCGAAGACCAGACCCGCTGGCAGCGTTAAAATATGGATATGAGGGGAAAACATTTTCTCTTTATTTTCCGTGAACAAAAAACAGTTGGAAATAAATGCCAGCTCTGATCTAGGTAATCGGTGGCCCTTTGGGTTGTTCGTCGGGGGCCACGGGGTGGCTTCCCTCTTGACTCTGACTCTCGTGCCGAGTTATCAAGCTGCCCATCACCATTCAGTCCATTGTTTTTCACTGTTGTGGCTATTTTCTGTGACTTGTCTTTGAACCTGGAAGATGCCAATGTATATCAGTTTTGGGGACAAGAACAGCCATAAATGTAGTTGTTAAATTTCCTTTTTTGGGAAGATCCCTTTCAGAGCCTCACATGGGCATATGGGAGGCTTCCTGTGTGAATTCACCGTGAAGCGAAGGGGCTTTGATTGCTAAATTCAGTGGCTTTTTTGGATGTTTTAAAGAATTAATAACAATTAAAATGGAATCAAGTGGATTCAAGAATTTGGGGGTGATTTTGGGGTTTCTAAAACTGTATTCTGTGGGTGCACGAGTCTAAAAATGTATGAGAAGTCATTGGATTGTATAAAGTGGGTGAATTTTATGGTCTGTCACTATTTTTAAAGTAATTGAATAAACATAATATCAAGTGATATGCTGTGAAAAGGAATAGAGGATGACGGTGGGGGAGGCGTGATGGAGTGGTCAAGGGAAAAAACCCAGACTGCTGAGATGCTGTTTGACATGAAGGAAATGAAAAACGCTAGTCCAGCACCCTGTTTGGCTCTAATCCTACAAAACTGGCCCAGAAGTCAAGTGAGGAAATCCTTGTTGTGATTTTGCCGCCCGAGTCCGGAGTCCCCGAGCCTGCATCTTACACAGCAGGTGGGACTCCTACACGCCGAGGCTCGGGGCCCCACCGCCCACGGGGAGGGGTGCTCACACCAGCACCTGCTCCGCCGTGGCTGAGATGGCGCGTGCCCCCCTCTGTGCTGGCCACGGAGACAGAGCTTGCAGCAGAGGGGCGACAGGGAGACACAAAGGCAGGGTGAGCCCGGCAAGGGGACGCGGCGTCTGGCGAAGCGCCCCTGGGCCTCACTGAGCGCGGCTGTGAGGCTGTGTCCTCGGTTCCATGTTGGGCTGTAGCTCGGCACCAAGGTCTGTAGGGCCGTGGGTGCCAGAACCGAGTCTCAGCTCACCTGTGGGGTGGAGCGTGGGCCTCTGCTGTGGGTGTCGGCGAGTGACGTCGCCCTGCGTGCTGCAGTGTTTGCGGGAGGAGCGGCTCCACACTACCCTCTCCTTCCCCGTTGCAAGCAAGCAGGGATGCAGCTTCCACCTTGCTGAGATGCAGCGCCTCAGTCACACTGAGGACTTACAGCCTTAAAGTGCTTCCTGTTTCTCTACCGAAACGTCGCTTGTAGTTTTGTAGGACACGAGTTAAAACTCCGCTTAAAGCACAAATGCCCTGAACGGCCACAGTCTGGGCAGCCGGTGCACCTTTCCATCTGCTGATGCTTTAAACGTCTGTAAATTCTCTTCTGAAAGTGGCCTTCTCCGCCTGGGCCTGTGAGCATTACTGGGTACCGGCCTTTGGCCCTTGATTGGGGGTGGGGGGAGGGAAGGGGGCCTGGCGGTGCTGGGGCCACAGCTTCAGCCTGCAGCAGGCGGGGGAGGGGGGAGCCGGCCACGGGGAGGCACAACGCTTAGGCGATTTCTAGTGAGATGTTCCATTTTATTTGTCAGCTGAGCTTCCTGTGTGGGCTGTAGAAGGTTTTGGTTGTCGATGTAATGCAGATGTGTTTTGTCTTTTTTTCTAGCATCAGGGGATGGAGAATCGCTGGTAAGTTGTGTGTCACTGTCAAAAAAGTGTGTTGTTTTGCTGTTAAGGTCCTTATTTCCTGAGTAGTTTGCTACTTTCTTTTTAATCTGTTCTCACTGCCTAAAAACCAAGGGTGAATTTGTATTCACTGCACCGTGGGGGTGGGATAGAAGCGCGCGTTCCGTGGGTGGACCCGAGGGCAGGCGTGTCCTTGAGCCTCGCCCCCTCGCACACGTGGCTCTGGGCCCTACGCTTCCCTGCCATTTGGCTGCAAGGGTTCCTTTGGTGCGGCCTGGCCTCAGAGGTGCCTGTCACCCAGCAGTGCCCGCGCTGGGTGCTTTATAGGCCGAGTCACTGGAAGTGGGGGGTGCGGCGTGGGCAAGGGGGTGTGGCGCTTGCCGCACTGAAGCGAGTTAGCACGTCGCTTTTCCCCTCAGGATGAAGACTCCGAGCTGGCGCTGGCCTCCGACTTCGAGGTCGGGCACTTCTTCCGAGAGCGGGTCGTGCCGCGCGCCGTGCTGTACTTCACGGGGGAGGCCGCCGAGGACGGCGACAGCGTAGGTGGCCCGCGGGCCCGGAGGATCGGACCGGGCAGGGAGATGGCAGAGGCGGGGGGCGCAGGCCTTTCTGAGGCACCTGAGCACCGCACGCCCACGTGGGCCCGGCCGGTGGCTGGTTTCAGGATGTCCTCTAAGGACGCAGGGCTTCGCTGCTGCACACCGTGTCTGTGGCTTTGGGTGACTTCTGAACACGAGCAAACTCCTGTTCACCAAGCGACGGCCAGCAGAGCCGAGTTGTGCTGGCATGCGGCATGTTGACCCCAAACAAGTAGAACCCCACACTGCACAGGAAAACAGCCCGGCCACACAGGCCACCTTGCCCTCTGCTCGGAGGAGCTCGCCCTCCCACAGTCAGAACTCGGGAGCAGGACCCCTGAGCACAGCCTGGCTAGCTGCCCCGGGCTGTCACCTGAAATGGTTCTCCATCGTGACCAAGGCCCGGTTGCCGCGAGCCCTCTTGTTTGTTGTGTGGAGATGAAGGTCTGTCCTGTGGCGTGTTGCTGGAAGTGTGCGGAGGTGCTGTTTGCGCCCTTGTGTCGAGTGCTCTGAGGTTCCTTTCTGGCGAGGTCTGTTGTGGCTGCTGGGCAGGTCCCAGCTGCTTCGTGCCCTCCTTTGTGCTGAAGGCCCCCACGCGGCGGGAGTGGGCCAGCCCAGGGCGCACTGGCTACATCGCCTGACACTGGTGAGCTTCTCAGGTGCGGTCTGTCCATCCCCGGGCTGGGAGGTACTCGTGGGAATCCGGGAACACGGACACACACAGCACAGCGCAGTTTGGGGTCATCTTAGCGCTCAGGTAGCTGCTCAGACTTAAGTTTTAGGAAATGCTGGTTATGCAGCAAATTCTGGACCAACGCTGTCCAGCGCACCTTCTGTGATGAGGGAGCTGTGCTCTGCCCCATCTGCTGCAGCAGGACTGGCACCACGTGACTCTGGGAGATTGAAGGTGCGGCCCTTGGCAGGTGAGGAACCAGGGTTTGCATTTATCTAATTTGACCAAAAAAGATCGAGTGGCTACACACAATGGGAAACTCATCTCTAGACCAGTGGTCTCAAACTTTTTTGATCATACACCCATCAGTTTAAAAACTTAAGTAGCAGTGCATATATATTTATTTATAGTACAGGCAGCATAGCAACTCCTGGTGAGCAATACAGTGTGTTTGCCTGTAACATCCGTGTCCATGCTCATTCATAATGCCTTTGGTGCAGGTACCGCAGGTGCAGGCACCGCAGGTGCGCAGTGTGGTCCAGGGGCTCACGTCAGCCTGCGTCTGCTGCAGCCCCAGCTCTGCCGGTTCCCACGCGTGGACCGGGGCTGGTGGTCGTCGCTCCAGCTGCTCCTCAGGCTCCTGACAGAGGAGGCTCGGTGGTGCTGGGACAGAGATGAGTGTACTGACGTCAGACACGCTAGGGACGATGTGGACACTGGGCATGATTCTGGGGTGAAGTGGGCGGAGGAGGAGTCCTGGTTTCGTCTTCCATACTCAACGTGGGTCGCCTCACTCGTCCCACGGGCTGCACACCCCACTCTGGAGCCTCTGCTCTGCCCGAGTGTGAGATGCCCGCACAGAGCTCGCTCAGAAGATGGGGCCAGGGTGAAATGATGGACTTAGAACCTCAGAAAATGGGCACTTGAGCCTGTGTGAGGCTGGTTCCAGTGCGACCTGAAATGCTGCAGTGAGAGTCTTGTCGGCTGCAAGACACTGAAAGGTCTTCTTTGTCAGAGGCCTGGAGGAAAAGGTGCCAAGACATGGTCAGATCCCAGGCCGACCGCACCAGGCCCTGCCCACACTGCACTCTTCTGAGTTCCCTTTGAGTTGTTGCTGACGAGTGTGGGGGGGGGGGCGGGGGGCTCCAAGAAGAAAGGGTTATAAGAGAAAGCTTGCTGAATCTTCATGTGTCTGTGTCAGTGCAGCCACCAGGGACGAGGGTTATTTAGTTTTGTTTGGCTTTTGACAGCAGTCTGATATTCGGGACTTGGCTGAGAGCCTGGCCAGCAGTGTCTTTGGACACACAAGACCTTGAATTGAGATGTTCATTCAGCTACAGTGTTGGAGTTTCTCCCATGCACACTTTTTCTGACTTATTTTAAAGATTAAACACCAAGATTTTATTACATTTCTAAATACAGATTAAAGATTTCCCCTTGTCCGAGTTATAAAATGACATTGAAAGTCCATCCAGTATGTGATAAAATTACGCTACTGGTTTGCTAAGATCAGCCAGTTTCCCAGTTGGACCCAGCGCACACCCAAGCCAACGGTTTTCTTTCTTCACCCCGTCCCCATCCGTAGTCTTCGTTTTGAGTGGTTTTTAGATACCTGGTATCCTATTAACATGGCAGGGCTTGTGAGCAAGCGGCCCCGCAGTTCTGGTCCTGGCTTGGAGCAGAGGTGCCGGCGGCAGACTGGCCTCTGCTGAGAGGCCAGGCCACTTCCCACTCTCCTTAGGCCCTATACCCCTGTGGGCGCTTGACGGGCTGTGTCTGGGTCAGGTTGCCATCATGCTTTATAAAACCTAAAAACGGGCTTCCCTGGTGGCGCAGTGGTTGGGAGTCCGCCTGCTGATGCGGGGGACGCGGGTTCGTGCCCCGGTCCGGGAGGATCCCACGTGTCGCAGAGCGGCTGGGCCCGTGAGCCATGGCCGCTGAGCCTGCGCGTCCGGAGCCTGCGCTCCGCAGCGGGAGAGGCCGCGGCAGTGAGAGGCCCGCGAACCGCAAAAAAAAAAACAAACCTAAAAACCTGTTTCCTTTCTTTTCAGTTTGAAGAAGGTGAGGAAGGAGAGGAGGAGGTAAGACACGGTTTTCGTGAGACATCATCCCCGGGGCTGCTTTAGGCCTTGTGTGCGTGAGCGGCTGGAGGTTATGAAGTCAGGGGACCACTTGAGACTCGTCTCGTGGGAAGCTGCCTTTGAAGCTTTCAGCCCTGTTGAATACTACAGAAAGACACGGCACATGGGTAGCAGTGTCCAGTTTGACCCTGCAGTTGGCTTATGAAAATGCATCTTAGAAAATAAGCATTTAGCAAACAAAATCCACTTTTTCAGCAGTATGTTTATTTCGGGGTTATTTGCTAGAACAAGAAGTGTCCAGAGGAGGGGATTTAAAGACGTATACGGCTCTATAGCAGTGACTGTAGCTGCCTTCCTTCAGAATCAGAGTGTTGCTTTATTTGTGGCTGGTGGGTCTGCAAGAACTTGAGTCCTGTCTGTCCAACTAGCTCTCACTCCTTTTAATGCAGGAATTAGAAGGTGATGAGGAGGGAGAAGATGAGGACGATGCCGAAATTAACCCCAAGGTTAGTTATTTGGGGCTTCCCACGCCTGTGTGTGCTACACTGTGGACCTTTTAAAACACGTTCCCCACTTTGAGGTAGTGGTGGTACAGATATGTACCTGTCATTCGCTAATTAGGAGAGTTAAAATGTACCAGGAAAATACTTGAATGAGGAGCTGTTTAGACAGCTGGTATATAATTTGAGTGTTAAGCATGAATACTAAACTGCTTTCCAGTGCTTTCCCCGAAAGCTGTATCTTATTTATATAAACTTGTTCAGTAGCGCAGCTTTACATTCCATCTCTTTAATTCTTTTAAGATAATGATTTAACTGACAACATGAATAAACTTTTTTGTTCTGTGTGTTTGTTTTTGGAAAACGTACAGAGATGGGACTTGGTGGGGGGCTTGTTTTGTTTTGTTAATGATAGGATAATGGAGTTGTAGGCATAACTTTACAATTGTACATGGGCTGAGAATACTCAAAAGACATGTCTCGATAGCTCAGATAATTTGAAATAAATTAGGAAGCTTTGCAAAAAAACAAAACAAAACAACCAATTAGGATGGGTGGGCAGTCCCATTAATTTTACGCCTGTCTGAGTTTTTACTTACGGGCTCAGATGAGCGTACATCAGGGACTTTGCCACTTGACACATATTTGAAATACAGAACTGTTGTAACGCTGTCCTGAAGCTGTAATCGCTTACGTGAAATTTATAGTTCACCCGCCTCTTAGGACCAAATGTATCACGGGCTGTCAGAATACTGACATTACTTGGCATTGTAGAATCTTCATCTCTATTTAAGTAGACGTGGTTGGTTGGTTTGTTTACCCCCGCTGTGCCTGAAGCGGACCGTGCACTAAGCTGTCATTGTGTAGCTGGGTCTGATCACTTCATAGCACCAGATGTTCCTATGAATGCATGCTTACAGCAGTAGTTCCTTCTGGGGAAGAATTCGTGGTGGGTTTAAATCCTCAGTGTGCCTTATAGATACTGCTCTGGGAGTGGGCTCGGGCATGTTCATGTTTTCAAAGCCAGCCTCTCTGTTGGGTCGTCGCCGTATGGACGGCGCACCTGTGCTCAGTTCCTGAGCTGCGAGCCCAGGGCCCTGCTTTGAGTGGATCGCCCTTCGCTGTTGGGTAATAATAGAACCGTGCCGTGCCCGGTCCCAGGTGTTTGTATCTGGCTGTTCTTCTGCGCTCGGGGGGCGCTTGGGGCACACATTCACAGTGGGGTTTCTAGAGCAGAGATGGCTGGTTACCGTGTCCACTGCTGGACTCAAGTGCCCTGTCTCTGGTCGCTTGTCTCACTGACAGCGGCTGCTCTGTTCCCCATTTCTTGTTTCCTCCTGTTGTGCGTCCTCTCTCTCCCCTTGCCAAACCTTCTGTCTCCTCTCACGTCTGGGTTTTCTAGAAGAGCATTCTCACCAAGTGATCACAGATAGCTTAACAGAAAGTAGAGACATGTCAGTACTAAGCCTTCGTGAAGCCTTCGGTCTGTTGTGTTGGTTGGGAGTGGGCGAGGTGCCTGAGGAGGGCCCCTCGGTCAGCCACGTGCAGTCGAAACGCCCTAGTCCTGTCCTCTGGGGTCGTGACGTGACACTCGCGTTCCTCCACGCGCACCTCCTCAGGGCGCAGTCACATCACAGCCAGTACAAGCGCAGGAAGATCAGGAAGAAGTGTTGGGGTATTAAAGGTACAGATCTGGGCGTTGAGGCTTCCCGTCTCCAGCTCGATGTTTTTGCAGCCCTTTGTATCATGAGAAATGGTGGCTCTTTCCTCCTGTATAATTTTGTGCACTTCATTTTCTTTCATGCTGACAGTTCCTTTCGATTTTTTTCCCCATCTGTTAATCATTCATACGTTTCTAGGTAAGGTGGAATCCCATTCATTCCTAACTTCCAAACTTCTGGTCTGTGCTTTGTAGCAGTGCCATGTTGTCGTGACTCGGTGGAGTGTCCGGGCGCACTCAGCACGTGCTGGCCTGGACAAGGGCTTTCTGAAGAGCAGTGTTTTTGTGCAGGTGTCTGTCGTGTGTGCTTTTAAAACCGACAGAAACCACATCTAGCTCCTACTTGCTGAGCCCAGTGTTTTGTTGCTGACCAAGTAGCAGAGATGTAACTGGTGTGAAAGCTTTGTTGATGATGGGGCTGCCGCCCCCCCCCCCCCCCCCCCCCCCCAACCCGGGAAGAGTACAGAACAAGAGGGCCCTGGGACCAGGATGCACAGGTCCCCCAGCCATGCTGGCCTCAGCAGGACGAGGTCTGCTGCCTGCTGTGATTCTTCTCGACGTGTGTCTGTTGATTGTTTATACTTTTTAAATTCAGGTGCTATGCAGACCAATAGATAATAAAGGGGTAACTTTAATGCGCCAGGATCTTCTCTCTCAGAAGCTGCTGGCACCAGTTTTCACATCAGCGTTAGTAAGTGCTGTCAAGGTTGCTGAGGAGTGTGCCGCTCAAATAAGAAAAGGACCTGTCGTAGATCCAAGTGAGCGTTGCAAGTCCCAGGAGCCGCCCTGTCCCTCTCTGGGGGTCATGGGTCCTCGTAGCTCTGCCCCAGTCATGAAGTCCCTCTCGTACGACGCCGTCGGCTTTTGTGGGGCAAGGGAGGAAGGTGCGAACAGGAGAGCCTGTGAGAAGCCAGGGCGGCGGTGTTAGCATGTAGGAGAGAGCAGGGGCTGCCCGCTTTGAGCTAAGCAGGCCAGTGGTGTGGGAGTGGCTCCTGGGAGAGCAGAGTTGTGTCTCCGCACCGCAGAGCCATGGTCTGGGGGTCTGTTAGCCCCATGCCTTCGAGGGTCCGTCTGCATTGCCTTCCTGTCTTACTCGGGTGGCTGGCTTTCTTAGAAGACTAACGGGCAGGTGGGCAGACTTGGGCTAAAGGAAGCATTTTAATTAGATGAAGTGAATGTACACCTGGGATCTTTTCTGTTTTAAAAGGTCAGATCTGATCATTTAAAATTGTATGC